CCCCGACATCCTTCCCTCCAAGAACTTCCCACCTTGCTCTTGGGAGACTCGAACTCACAACCTTTCCAAATAGATCATTGTTCATTTATATTGGTCAACTATTTATCTCTGAGAGAAGGGGGTTTTCGTGATACTATTTTGCTAATATCATCTTCATGTTGTAAGAATAAATCTAATTTAGTTATGTATATGCAAGCCGGAAAGCAGGGAATAGCAGTTGGATACTGCCTGTATCTAACATTGGCAAACCAAGATGCAGTTACTGTCATCTCAGGAGCTGAGAACAAACTTGTTTCTACCTTATAAAGCAAATACATGCCCGTTTCATGCCCCTTTGACAAGTTCTAGCACATGGTCAAAGATGGTTGCAGGTGATATATGCGTAGGCAGGTCTTTATTGCAGTGCTATCTTAAGGCAGTGCAGTTCTGTTACAAAGCCATAGTAAATCTGTAATCATATAGTAGTATTTTTACTGCTCCTCTGACTATAAGCTTATGAATATATTGTAAAAGGAAAAAAACGAGGTGTTCTCTGCTTGTGGAATCTCGTTGAGAAAATGATAAGAATCTTTGTTTTTGTTTCAATACTTTAGTTGTGTACGATTTATAAAGCATTCAGAGTATGTATGATCATCTTTCTGCCCTTTTGGTATTTTCTACTGCTGATAGTTGCACGTATAGATGGATGTAATATTTTGATCACAAGTTTCATCCTGTTCTTCTCATGCACCTCTTGTGGAGCCTCGAGAGTTCGCGTAGATGAATTTAAATGGGGAACAAAGTTAGTGAGGATTCATTCAGTCAAGTCGATTCTAACTTGTTTGGCACTGAAGCGCAGTTGTTGTAGAGAGTCGAGAGGATGCCACTAAGGTCAAATATGCCTAGTTTCGTTTTGGGCATTGCTAAAAAACTATGGATGAAATAAAGAACACCTTCGTGTTAAATATGGTTAATACTTAACCGGTTTATGCGACAAAGTTAGAAACAAATATAGGCAAGAAGTTAAGAACAAACAAGAAAAATAATAGATAGTAGATGTTAGATATCTCTTTCTTTAACACATAGGAATATGTTTCTGTTCTGCTCACCTGATCCTCGAATGTATTTTAATGGTCCATGTAGTAACGACTCTATAACGTCTCTATACAACAACCAGTCTAAAAACCAAGTTTTTTTCGGAACCGATTTTCATGTAATATTACAACATATATCCTATATAATAGCACTTTACTATAACAACCAAAAATATCAGAACAAACGAACATGTTATAGGTAGGTTTGACTGTAGAAGAAAGCTGCTAAATTGATCAAGCAATATGAGCAAAAGCAAGAGCGTTTAAAGCATAATTGTTTCAAATTTCGTCTAAGCCTTTTGAGATTTAAACAAAGAAAATTTACCGGGGGAAATTCAAAAATAGTCAAATTTAAAAGTGGTCATGAAAAATAGCCACCGTTTAAAAAGTAATCGAAATTTAACCACTTTTCATGTAAAGATAAATCTGAACAAAAACACTGTTCAAAATCCGGAAAATATTCCAACATAATATACTGGAGTTCCAGTATAATATATCGGTTCAGCATAATATACTAGAAGTTCATACACAAGTGCTCCAATTTCCAGTATATTATGCCGGAATTTTTCGCATGTTGGAGTTCCAGCATAATATGTTGGAAGTTCATATACAGGTGCACCAATCTCCAGTATATTATGTTGGAACTTTTCGTGTTGCAGCAAAATACTAGCTATTTTTCAATTACGAGTCCGAAAACTGGCTAGTCCGTGCTATTTTTACAAATTTATTACTCATTGATAAATCTAAAGCTTATATTACCAGAAAATTGAAGTTCAGATATGTTCCCTTTAGTGTAAAGGGAGCATACAATTGAAGAATGATATATTTACAAAATTTTTGGTTCCTTGGCTTGCTCATTTCTCCCTCAAGCTTTATTCCTTCTGCTTGAATTCTAAATTGGAGCATTAAAAGGTAGAACATATCCTACCTCTGAGGTATGTACAATGTACTCCAGAAGAATGTAGTAACTGGCATTATACATTTCCTAATGCCCGAAGTGGTAACTGCACACGACAGCTCTACCCGTCGAGTAAAGATCTCAGGTTCTGAAGTCCTTCTGCAGATATACACTTCCTAATTCTTGATCTTTGGAATACAATAGTTGGTGGTGGTTCAGAGTGAAAACATACCATGACTACTGTTAAGTTGTCGATAGCACCACGTTTTTTGGCCTCGTCCACGACTTCCTTGCAGCATAATTTAGCGTTGTTATGTTCTTGCAGTCTCCTTCGAGCAAAATCCACTGCGTTTTGGCTTCTGAAAACATCCCATATTCCATCACTACCGATGATCAAGAACTCGTCCTCCTTTGTTAATGTAAGCAGCTTTAGTTCTGGTTCAGCACTCAATGGTCCACCCTTTTCGACTTCCTTTAGTCCCTTAATATGCCAGTCACCCAATGCCCGGGTCACGCCTAACTGTCCGTTCAAATAACCATCATCGACAAATCCACCCAAGGACTCGACACGTGTTCTTTCACTGACACAACAAGGTCTGTGATCCTTTGACATTTCTATAGCCAATCCACCTCGAGAGAGTACTGCTCGACAATCGCCAGCATTTGCCACGAGTAATGATCTGTCCATCAGATATTAGTTCAGAAAGAAGCTAAAATTAGATACAAATAACCAATGTAGACTAATGAAGATAAATTGGTAAGGAATAGGATAAAGAATGAATTTAACCAAAAAAATTCCCTACTCAAAGAACAATACACCTCAAAATGTCACCCTATGGAGTTATCAATATTTACTTAGATATGTGATACCATATGTCTAATGATCATATACCTAGGTAGTACTAGCAACAACCTAAAAAAGCTTCACGACACTAAGACATCGTGCTAGTTGATTGAAACATAAATTGGAAGTCAGGATTAAAGGAAAACAGTGAAAAGAAAATGAAAAGAAAATGAGATGAATGCATAGGAATCCACCTTCCAAATATCATAGCAGTGAGTGCAGTTGTGCCCGAGGACAAGTCAGAATCAGCGGAGCATGACTTGGCAAAAGCAGCATCTGTCTCCAAAAAAGATTTACTGACCACTTTCTCAAGTTTCAAAGGGAAATCTGCATCCTCAACAATGATTCTTGGTAAGAAGTCACGAACAAAGAGTGCTGCTCCCTTCCCACCATGGCCATCAAAGACCTGTCACTAAAACCATTTACATCAGTGGTCGCCTGGTCGGAGAATATCAGATGCTAGATGTGCTAAGAGTTTGTAGTAAACTTGGCTTATTATCTCTTTTCAATTCTTCTCCACTCCTCAGTCGGAAATCCTATTTTATATGAAAGAGATGTGTGATTCTTAATGAATAACTAGTATAATAATTAGACATTATATTTGGTCCTAAATAGGAAACTAATAAGATAAGCTACTTATACCCTGCAGGTCCAAGTGTGAGTTCCTATGCCACAAGCAAAGATGCTTAGACCTCCTGCACTTCAGCTGTTCAGCATATACATTTTCCAATACAAGTTCAAACTACAATGTGTCATGGTGTTTTTGATTCGCGGTGTTTTTAGTTGGACTACATTTCTGATCATTATGCTATCTCATCATTTGAGTAGAGTGGTCTCTTTGTCTCTTTTATGGTGCAAAGCAGTGACATGATCTGATAAGCACGACAGGAGAGCTCTAATTCATCAGTTGTCACTTACGGTTTTATACATTTGTTTGATAGTTAATAACTAATCCTGTACCATTTTGCAATAGCACAAGGCCAGCACCATGAAATCCGTAAGCGACATGTTTCATCTCACAACCCTGAGGAACAAGGCACTCCTTTGTAGTTCTTTCAGCCCTTTTGTGCAGCAACAACAACAAACCCAGTGTAATCCCACCAGTGGGGTCTCAGGAGGGTAGAGTGTATGCAGACCTCATCCCTACCTTAAGAATGTAGAGAGGCTATTTCTGGTAGACCCTCGGCTCAAGAAAGATAGAGAGGCTCTAACATTCTCATCAATATACAACCCATGTTCCCTACATCAATACCTAAACTAAATTTTATAGTAAGGAAAGATACAAATGCACCTACTAGTAAAATGAGAAAATTGCAAAGGATGAATATCATGATGCCAAACGAGTTTAAAGAACTTACTCCATAAAAAGAGACGGCCTCCTCCTCACCAAGAATACTTTGACCAAAATTCTTAGCCAGGTCCGCAATACAAATATGAGTATCTTCCATATCAAGACGACCTCCAATATCGGACCACTCTCCAGATCTAAGAGTAGGGAGGAATTTATTGGAGAGTATCTGCTTACGGTCTGCAATAGTTGTATCCTCAGAAATGCTTTCCATCTAGAGAACAAAAGGAAGAAAAAAGGAAATAAATCACTTATAACTCAATGAAGAAGTTCATAGCCACGCAACAATCAGCTTAGATGTTATATTGTTCAAGTGAACTTTCTATTTAGGATTAGTTTAGGAAACAATACCGAAGGAGCATAAGGACATGAAAATGTGTGATACTACTCAATAGTTTTACTGCAGGAACTCTCAAAGAAACACAAGATAAATGCAAATAAAGCAACTTCAATGATTTGCTACCTTATCGAAGAAGAAAAAACTTCATTGATTTACTATGTCACATAGCAAAAAAACCACGATTCTACAAATGTGCCACGGAGAATCCATATCATTCAAATTAGTTTCCAAAGGCAAAGATTTCCAAATTTCCTAATATCATCAAGAATATCCATTTACCGATAACTTTTCTACCAGAAAGATCGATAGCACTGTACAACAGATGAAAAGAATCTACCAAATCCATCTAATACAGGAGCCTCTCCGACCAGTCCCACACTTATAGCCTCTCCGACCAGTCCCACACTTGTTTTTTCTTAAAAGTACTTTTGGTGAGAAAAACACTTCTGTGCAGCAATTGCTGTTTGACCAAGCTTTTAGAAACTGCTCCGATGCGTCCCACACTTAATCAGGAGAAGAAAGGATACCAAGAATTGCAAATCACAAAAGATAAAGACCCATAGCTAATAAATAGACCATCTAATAAAAAAGAGTGAGGAAACCAAAAAAAAAAAAAAAAA